ATGGATCTCTGTGAGCTTGAGACCAGCCTCTACATAGCGAGTTCCAGGCCAGCCAGAATAACACGGTGACTGTCTCAAACAAAAAAAAAAAAAAGAAAGAAAGAAAAGAAAAAGAAAGGGGGAGAGAGAGAGAGAGAAAGCTCACAACTACTTGTAAGTCCAGTTGCAGAAGCTCTCACACCCTCTTTTGGACATCACAGGCACCAGGCATGCAAAGGATGCACAGCAACACACATATACACATACAATAATTTTTTTTAAATAAATTCTTCCGTGAAACGCGATTAAGATGTTAGTCCTCTTGGGAAGTCCTTGTCTTTTTGTTGTTCGATTTTAAGACAGGGTCTTGATATGAAGCTCTGGCTTCACTTCAACTTGTACCAGTCTTGCCTCTGCCTCCAGATTGCCATTTCCAGAGTACATGAGACCCTATCTCAAAAACTAGTAAATAAATAAAATAAAAAATAAATAAATAATCCCAGATTCGGTGTAGATCAAAATGTGCCATTAAGCCGGGTGGCGGCGGCGACGGCGGCGGCGGCGGCGGCGGCGCATGCCTTTAATCCCAGCACTCGGGAAGCAGAGACAGGCGGATCTTTGTGAGTTCCAGGCCAGCCTGGTCTACAGAGCGAGATCCAGGACAGGCACCAAAACTACACAGAGAAACCCTGTCTCGGAAAAAATATATATATATAAAATCACTAAAAAGGATATTTAGAGCCAGGCAGTAGTTGTGAGCTCGCTTCCTTTCTTTTCTTCTTCTTCTTCTTCTTCTTCTTCTTCTTCTTCTTCTTCTTCTTCTTCTTCTTCTTCTTCTTCTTCTTCTTCTTCTCTTCTCCTCCTCCTCCTCCTCCTCCTCCTCCTCCTCCTCCTCCTCCTCCTCCTCCTCTTCTTCTTCTTCTTTTGAGACAGAGTCTCTCATTTTGTTATTCTGGAGAGTGTGAGAGCTTCTGCAACTGGACTTACAAGTAGTTGTGAGCTTGCTTTAGTTTCAGCCCTTGGGAGGCAGAGGCAGATGGATTTCTGAGTTCAAGACCAGCCTGGTCTACAGAGCAAGTTCCAAGACAACCAGGGCTGTTACACAAAAAAAAAAAAAAAAAAAAAAATCCTGTCTCAGAAAGAAAGAAAGAAAGGAAGGAAGGAAGGAAGGAAGGAAGGAAGGAAGGAAGGAAAGAAAGAAAGAAAGAAAGAAAGAAAGAAAGAAAGAAAGAAAGAAAGAAAGAAAGAAAGAAAGAAAGAAAGAAGAAACTATCCAGGCAATAGCTTACAGTGCTTTGGAATCCAACCTGATTTTCTATATTACTCAGAAAAGTGTAACAATCCTTGTCTTCTATGTCTGTTCTTTCTTTCTTTCTTTCTTTCTTTCTTTCTTTTTTTTTTCAGAGCTGAGGACTGAACCCAGGGCCTTGCACTTGCTAGGCAAGCGCTCTACCACTGAGCTAAATCCCCAACCCTTGTCTGTTCTTTCTAAGCAGGATTTCCCTAACACTTTGGGTTTCTTACTCTCTCTAAAGCTCCTCTCCTCAATGTGAAAGCTTGTCTATTCAGGCTTAAATAGAGTTTTTTTTTTTTTTTTTTTTTCTCTTCCAGGAAGCTGCTGAGACTTATGGCATGCTTGCCCCAGGAAATATATTTTTTTTCTTTTTTAACTCTAATAAAATTGCCCTTGAGACTTAAAGGGAAAGCAGGCAAGCTAGAGTGTGCTGTCCTTTTCGTCCCCCACTCCACCCCGCTGCAGGGAACTGTAGAGCATTTGGCTATCACATTACAGTGCCCTATTGTTGATCCCCAGCCTCAAGGGGAAATTTGTGAGTTTTTGAGAAAGGCTTTTTTTTTTTCCCTAAGAATTTGTGTAATTCTAAACGTATTTTTAGAGCTGGGTGAGGTGGTGCATACCTTTATCCCCAGCATTCAGGAGGCAGAAGTAGGCAGATATATATAATGAGACCCTTGTTTTTAAAATATACATATATTTTTATGTTGTGTGCATTCATGAAAGTGTGTGAGTGCTTTTGTGCCATGGTGTGCTTGTGGAGGTCCAAGGACAATTTTCTAGAAGGTTCTTTTCACTTTTTTTGCTTTGCTTTTGACACAGGTATAGCCTTGGCTGTCCTGGAACTTGCTCTGTAGACCAGGATGGCCTGAAATACAGAGATCTGCCTGCCTCTGCCTTCCTAATGCTGGGATTAACAGCTCTTTGCCACCACTGCCTGGCTTCTTTTCACCTTTTTAAGGAAGATATTTTGCTGCTGCTGTGCTCTGTACCCCCACCCCACCCCACCCCTGCTAGCTGGCCTATGGGCTTCCTGGCAGTTCTCCTGTCTCCACCTCTCATCTCATTTAGGAGTGCTGTGATGACAGATGTAATACCACATCTGGCATTTTAGAACTTCTGGAGATTGAATTTATGTTGTCAGGCTTCTTAGCTAACACTCTGCCTTAAAAAAAAAAAAAAAGATTGCATCTCACTTCGTCTCACTGTGTAGTCCAAGTTAAGATACATAGCTGAGGTAGAGTATTTCCATGAATGTGAGGCAGGCTAGGCCATATAGAGAAACTTTGTCTCGAGGGGGCACAGGGGATGTATATGTATGTGAAAGAGGGTAAAATATGGATATAGATAGGGACAGTGTATGTAGCCTGAATTTCTTGGTTGTACTAACAATAGTTAGTAGCACCTTTATTTTTCAGGAGTTAAATGTTGTTTATGTCATAGTATTAGGAGGTACGAGGACCACTGCAAGTTCAAGGCCAGTCTGCCTGGTCTACATGGTGAGACCCAGTGTGGTGGTCTGAACGAGAATGGCCCCCTTAGGCTTATATATTTGGATGCTTGGTCCCTAGCTGTTTGATAAGGATTAGGCGGTGTGGCCTTGTTGGAGGAGGTGTGTCACTGGGGTTGACTTTGATGTTTCAAAGGCCCATACTATTTCCAGTTAACTCTCTCTCTGCCTTGTGCTTGCCTGTCATCACATAAGCTCTGAGCTACTCCTCCAGAGCCCTGCCTGCCTGCTGCCATGCGCCCAATCATGACAGTCATGGGCTCTGACCCTCTGGAACAATAAGCAAGCCCCCAATAAACCCCTCTTTACATTGCTTTGGCCATAGTGTGTTTTGTATGTCAAATGTGTTGCTGATTGGTCAATAAATAAATCACTGATTGGCCAGTGGCTAGGCAGGAAGTATAGGTGGGACAAGGAGGAGAATAAAGCTGGGAAGTGGAAGGCTGAGTCAGAGAGACACTGCCAGCCGCCATGATGAGAAACAGCATGTGAAGATGCCGGTAAGCCTCGAGCCATGTGGCAAGGTATAGATTAATAGAAATGGATTAATTTAAGCTGTAAGAACAGTTAGCAAGAAGCCTGCCACGGCCATACAGTTTGTAACCAATATAAGTCTCTGTGTTTACTTGGTTGGGTCTGAGCGGCCGTGGGACTGGCAGGTGAGAGAGATTTGTCCTGACTCTGGGCCAGGCAGGAAAACTCTACCTACAATAGTGCCCCTTCACAGCAATGGGAAAGTAGCAAAGTCACCAAGTTACAGGAAATCAAAAAGGTGACAGGTAAGACTGCTCATCAGGGAAGTCCTGGCCATGCAAGAGGGATGACCTGAGTCCAGGTCTTGGGACCGCTGGTGAGAGTTGTCCTCCACATTTACCATTTATGCATACAGCCACACACATAACACTATAATAAAAATAAAACTTTATTTATTTTTAGACAGGTCTCACTCTTGTAGTCCTGGCTGGCCTGGAACTCACAGAGATCCACCAGCCTGCTGAGTGCTGGGATTAAAGGCGTGAACCACCATGCCAGGCAAAAAAAAACAAAACTTAAAAAACAAAACCTAAGAAAAGTATTTTTCTTTTAAGAGTTTGTCTATTCCACTGCTTACACATGCCACCATAAAGCTGGTTAGTAACTATTGTCTGTCACAGAGCAGAAGCTCAGTAAACCCTTATAAACAAGTGAATCTCCCCTGAGTCTCTGCCTCCCTTCAAATTGTGAGAAAAGGTGTTTTTTGTCTTTCTATCAAAAGATGGCTAGTCCATGAATGGCCAATATTTCATAAATCTCCCTCATCTTTTAAAACTACTATAGCAAAGGAATCCAAATCTCTTTACTCACCTGGTAAAGCTTTGTTTACAAAAAGCCTTGCTGTCTGTGGCCAGGCAGTGGTGGCTCACACCTTTAATCCCAGCACTAGGGAGGCAGAGGCAGGAGGATCTCTGTAAGTTTGAGGCCAGTCTGGTCTACAAATCAAGTTCCAGGACAGCCAGAGCTGTTATACAGAGAAACTCTGTCTCTAAAAACCAAGGGGGGAAAAGGTCTCGCTCGACACTGCATTCCCGGTACTTGATGGCCTGCAGCTGCAGCTGACCCCCTCCCTCTTCTCTCATTTCCTTTTTGAGGAATCTTTTAAAACTATCTAATCTCAGGGTTGGGGATTTAGCTCAGTGGTAGAGCGCTTGCCTAGCAAGCACAAGGCTCTGGGTTTGGTCTTCAGCTCCGGGAAAAAAAACAAAAAAACCAAAAAACTATCCAATCTCAAGAGCATGAAACGGAGTACCCACCAGTGGGGTGAGGCCGAGTAGGTCACCACTTGCAGTAGAACAAAAACTATGTGAACGTCCAGTTTAGGTGTGGCACATTGTTTTTACAAAAAGAAATTGGCTTGCCAGATTACGTTTTTTGTTTTGTTTTCAAGAGAGTGTTTTTCTGTGTAGCCCTGGCTGTCCTGGAACTCTCTCTCTCTCTAGACCAGGCTGGCCTTGAACTCACAGAGATCCATCTACCTCTGCCTCCTAAATGCTGGGATTAAAGCTGGGCTACCACTGCCAAGCTTCTCCTTGCTGTTTTTATCGCCAGTTAAGGGGGTGGGGTGGGCAAAGAAGGGGAACCCAGCCAGATGCAGATGAACCAGCATCTTGGGATGACAAAAACTGGATTTGAGTGGAGAACAGTCTGACAGTAATAAAAGTAATGCCAATGGAACAGTCATGCAAAACAGTGGCCTTTAATACTAACAAAGACCATGTAGTGAGCAACCTCCAGAGTAGTGCTGAGCCGGCCTCTCAGGACCCTAAACCTGAACCAGTAACAGAGAACTCAACATATTTACATCAATGTCTGACCTTAAACCCAAGGACAGTCCAAGACCTGAGACCATTATTCTTCCTTTCCTCTTCTCAAACCTTTCACCTTTCACATCCTCGATTCCTTCCTCTCCTTTCCCTGCCCCTTTCTTTCTGTCCTTCCTCCTCATCCTCCTTATCACCAGCTCATCTACCCCTCTAGGTCCCACCAGTTTCTCTCCTGTGCAGCCCCTCAGCCCACCTCCCTCAGGTCTAGCCTCCAGGTTCAGGGTGAGGAGGAGGCAGCGTCCGTCCCTCAGCCCAGGGAGCACTTGTTGGTGTTCTTCTTGTCAGATGATTTCAGGTCAGTGCTTGAGGGCTTGCTGTTGTTCCCCTAGAGCCGGGAAGGCAGAAGGATCGGTGTGTGAAGGGCTGGCTGGAGTATGAGCCCATCCAGACAACCCCTCTACATGAGAAATCTTGGCTTTGTTCCTCCTCAAATGGCATTTTTTTTTTTTTGAGACAGGGTTTCTCTGTGTAGCCCTGGCTGTCCTCGATCTCACAGAGATCCACCTGCCACTGTATTGTGTAACTCTCGCTGTCCTGTAGAAAAGACTGACTTTCTTGAACTCAGAGATTCACCTGCTTTTTCATCCTGAGCGATTGGATTAAAGGTGGTTGTCCTGTGTCAACCGCCCCCTACACACACACACACACACACACAGTGTTTTTTCGTTTAGATAGAGTAGCTGAGGATGATCTTGAACTCCTGATCCTCCTGCTACCACCTCCCATTGCCGGGTTCTGGGCACACCACTCCAGTTCTTGCAGACACACACAGTGGTACCTAGCCAAGTAGAACCAACTCACCGGTCTCCGACCTCCTGACTTGAGCAAGATGTCACGGGCCAGGGAATTGAAAGCCTACAGAGGAAACTGGTTAGGACAGATTGGAGGAGAGGATAAATCTATTCGTATTTTTATCTCTTGGAGGGTGGATCTCACCTCATCCACATTCATACTGGATTTGGCACTCGTCTCAAAGAATCGGATTCCGTGCTCTCGAGCCAACTGTAGGGGGCGAGGAGGGAAGGAGAGAGCTGGATAAAGAGCAGAAGCAAAGCAGTGGGCAATCCCTCCTCACCCTGGTTCTCCCGGCCCTGAGGCAAAGGGTCCCGCCGCCCCTCACCTTATTGGCCTGCTCTTTCTGCACCTTCCGCTTAACCTCCATGTCACACTTGTTCCCCAGCAGGAGGCGCTCCACTCCGGCAGAGGCATTCTGAAGACAAGGGAAACAAGTCAAGGTTGGGTCTTTCACGGGGCTCACACCTGTGATTTCTGCCCTTGAAAGGAAGGACCACAGGGCGTTTGGGATACACAGTGAGTTCCACAACATCTGGGGCTACAGAGTGAGACCTTGTCTCCAGAAGAAGGAAAAAGAAGAAGGGGTCGGGGCTGGAGGGAAGGCTCAGCAATTAAGAGCATTGATTGTTCTTCCGAAGGACCTGAGTTCAATTCCCAGCACCTGCTCGGTGGCTCATGACCATCTGTCACTAAAGTCCCAGGGGGTCCAGCAAACTCTTCTGACTTCTGAGGGCACCTGGTTCACAGATATACATATGCGGGCAAAACACCCATACACATAGATTTAAATAAATAAATTAATTAAGGTTGACTCCTGCCCATTCTCACACCCCACCCTCCAGGAGCACCCCATCCCCTCATCTCTTTTGGAGATGTCTCACCTCTTTGATGCTTTTCATCCAGTTTTGAATATTCTCGAAGGATTTCTCATCGGTGATGTCATATACGAGGATGATGCCCTAAGGAATGGCGAATTTCACTTTGGACCATATTTCCATTAAGTTTCTATTGTCCTCTAAGTGATCCTCCAAGTCCCACCCATGGGTCTAAGCACAGGCCACATGGGGCTGGCTGCGACACACACCTTACCCTCCTTCTTTATCCCCTACCCCATGCTCATAACCTGCTGTACTCATGAAACTATGACATCAGTCCATGTCCAGACCCACATTTCATACCATGGCTCCACGGTAATAGGCAGTAGTTATTGTCTTGAATCGTTCCTGGCCAGCTGTGTCCCTGAAGCAGAAGTTTTTATAGAGTGAAACAGAAGTCTCCAAGAGGGAAAAAGCCCTTTCCTAAGAACTTAGCTTTTGTAACACTGGGGGTGGGGGGCTGAAAGGAAAGGAGCCAGGAAACAGTAAAGGGGAAAGGGACCAAGGACAGTTGGGCTGCTGCTGTTCAGCGGCCGCAGGGCCAGGAAACAGGATGTCTCTTGTTTACTCATAGATGCCAAGCACTGTCCTGAGTATCACTTTATGTGTGTGTGTGTGTGTCATCCTATCTAACCCTCACTGTGTCATTGTGAGGCATGTCTCACTGTCCCATTTTACAAATGAAATGAATGTAGGGAGGCTGGGGAACTAATGAAGGCCAAGCAGAACTTGAGCAGCAGGACCAGGGTTCAGACCCCATCTGCTGCTGTTTATCTGCCATAGCTCAATGTTTCAGCGGAAGCCTCACAGAGCCTCCACACCTGTAGTGAGTGTCTCCACTTCCTTGAGACAGTCAGGTCACACCTCTGTATGGGACCTCCTGCACTCTCTAAAAGGTTTTAAGTTATTATTATTATTATTATTATTATTATTATTATTATTATTATTTGAGACAGGGTCTCTCTACATAGCCCTGACTATTCTGGGACTCACTCTGTAGATCAGGCTGGCCTCAGACTCGCAAAGATCCACCTGCCTCTGCTTCCCAAGTGCTGGGATAAAGGTTGCTCTCTCTAAAATTTAGAGAGAGCAATAGACTGGGAGTCAAATTCGTAATTCTGCAACTTGTCTTTTAAGCACTTAGAACCTGTTTCTACATCATCGCTCAAAAGACATTTGTTTTCAAGTCCGGAGAAGGCTCTGGGTGAGGAAAAGACACAAACTGAAAGTGGGCCACCAGCAGAGGAGCCGAAGGACAGCTGAGTAAGCAAGATAGCTCAGTTAGGAGACGTACAAACCGAACAGAAGAAAAAGGGAAAGAAAGAAAGCAAAACAGAAAGACCAACATGCCTGCACACGCCTGGAATCCCAGGACATGGGAGATAGAAGCAGCAGGAGCAGGAGCTAACGGTCACTCATTCTCCGCTACATGGTGAGTTCCCGGCCAGCCTGGGCTACATGAGATTTTGTTTCAAAAACATAAAATAAAGTAAAATAAAACTGAAAAGAGAAGCCAGGTGGTGGTGGCACACTTTAATCGCAGCACTCAGGAGGCAGAGCCAGGCGGATCTCTGTGAGTTTGAGGCCAGCCTGGTCTACAGAGTGAGTTCCAGGACAGGCTCCAAAGCTACACAGAGAAACCCTGTCTCAAAATAAACAAACAAACAAAGAAGAAGAAGAAGAAGAACTGGAAAGAGAAAAAGGAAGGGAGGAGACATGAAGGGCAGGGGTGGGGTGCAGGGTAGGTTCACATGGCAGCCTGGACTGGCGAGCTGGGTACCTTACTTACCAGACTTGCAGTTTGATCCTCTTCCCCTCTATTTCCACAGTTCGGATCTTGAAATCAATTCCTGGGGTGAAAGGTGTGAAGCCAGGTGGGTGTGTGTATTTATTCGAAAAGTATGGTGGGAGAGAGCAGAGGCTCTGCCAGTATCTCTGCTGGGCAGGCGCTTGGGGTCGTGACCTTGCTGGATGTGTAAATGGAGAGGACTTTTCCAAAGCTTTATTCCTATCGTAAGCACGCTGTTTTTCCTTAGAATTTATGACGTTTGGAGGGAGGTGGTGAAACTCATTAGGGGCCTTAAAAGCATGCCAGCTGACAACTTTCACTTCCATCTCTATCTCACTTTCCCATTCTTCTCTCCCCCTCCCCCAACACACGGCGTACTACTGGTCCTCCAACCACCCCGCTAGCTAGCTAGCCCTTCAGGGTAAAGAGGAAATGGAAAGGCAGCTGATTCACGTCTATGTGAACTAACTGGTGGGTCAGGCGTGGAACTGATGGACTGGGGCTCCATAAGATTCCTCTAGGGAATCAGTTCATTGGCAGGAACGCTTTCTTTCCCCTTTATCTGCAGACTTGAGAGTCTCAGTCAAGACGAGATGAAGAAAGATGAGAGGGAGGAGAAAGGACGCTCTTTTTTTTTTTTTTTTTGGTATTTTTTGTTTGTTTGTTTGTTTGTTTTCGAGAGACAGGATATCTCTGTGTAGCCTCAGCTGTCCTGGAACTTGCTCTGTAGACCAGGCTGGCCTCGAAATCACAGAGGTCCACTTGCCTCTGCCTTCCCAGTGCTGGGATTAAAGGCGTGCGCCACCACTACCCGGCAAGGACACTCTTTTCCTGGAAATCTGGGCACATCTCCCAGGCCTCTTAGGGGCTCCAGAGAGAAGGATGAGTCAGGAAGCTTACTCAGAGACCCCAAAGTCCCGTCCTTTCCACCGTCCTCTCCCAGTACACTCAGCCACTCTGTGCAGTACCCTGTTGAGGGCAGAGGACTAGGAAGATGATTTGAAGGTGGAGGTGGATGCAGGGGAAGTCTGAAGCCCAGTGGATCAGAAAGAGGCCGACAGAACTGGGAAGCAGGGGAAAGGAGAAATTGTGAAGAATGAATCCAGAGATGTTAGGTGGATGCGGTGAGGAAGGAAGCCGGCAAAATGACAAGAGCCTATGTGGATTTCGGGAGACCAGGGAGCTAGTACCAAGAAAGGGAGGGGTGGCAGCACTGGGGTTACCTGGAGGCCTCAGAAAGGTTTGAAGTTTTGAGTGCTATTCAGGGACATTATGGGGGATGGGTCTGGGACAGGGGTCGAGAGATTGAAAGTTAGTGTCTTACTCTAAAGGGATCAAAAAGTAGGGTCCCTAAGTCCTTCAGGAGCTGGAGTTATGAGGGTGGGCGGGGGCAGGGGGTGGGTCCGGGGTCTGGGATACAGTCAGCGGGCTCACCGATGGTGGAGATGTAAGTGCTGTTGAAGTTGTCCTCTGCAAAGCGAATGATCAGACAGGTCTTGCCCACCCCCGAGTCCCCGATCAGCAGCAACTTGAAGAGGTGGTCGTAGGCTTTGGCCATGGCGGACACTGGGGGCGCCGGGGGAGGGGTCGGGAAGAGCCAACACTGGTAGGCGGGATCGGAGGGCTGGCAGGCAGAAACCGCCAGAGTCCCAGCCAGGAAGTTTTCCTCCCTCTCCGCCCAGGCCCGGGGAGAGAAGAGAGGCGGCCCCGCTCGTGGCTCCACCCCTCTTCGCCAGTGGAGAGGCCTGTCCAGCTTCTGCGGTCCTGGCGCTGCCTCCTCGCCAGCCTCGGCCGGCCAGTCTCCCTAGACCTTCCCACGGTCTTCGGCTAGCTGCCTTTCCTCCCTTTCGACCGACGTAGAAAGAGAGATTTTTAAAGAGATTAGAGGAAGCGGGAAAGAATTTGCCAATAAGGGTAGACATGGGGGTGGCACTGGAAATTGATTAAAAAAAAAAAAAAGCTGAAGGATCTAATTCAAAGGCTTTTTTGAGTTTGCGATAAAGGTCCCAGAACATTAGTGTCAGCGTGGTGCGCCCTAAGTCTACCTATCCCAAATTCCCTTTGAAAAGAAGCGGGTTGGGAGGTCAATATGCTGGGTCCACCTGCCCCCTGGTGGAGCACAGTGAAAAACTGAAATGATAAAAATAAGTCCCACCAACTACACTCAACACACACACACCCTATTCACATTCTGGAGACTAGCCTTGAACTCAGTAGCACAGCTGGGACTCCAACTCCTGGTAACCCTACGGCCTCAATCTCTCAAGTATGAAGACTACCGGCTACCATGCCCAGCTTTCCATCTTTTCATTCTTTTTTTTTGGTTTTTCAAAACAGGGTTTCTCTGTGTGTAGCCCTGGCTGTCCTGGGACTGGCTCTGTAGACCAGGCTGGCCTAGAATTCAGAGCTCCGCCTGGCTCTGCCTCCCAGGTGCTAGGATTAAAGGCGTGCGCCACCGCCGCCCGGCCCATCTTTATTTCTTTATTCACTTTATTTATAGTGTGAATTATTTGCCTGCATGTGTCTAAGTACTACGTTGAGTACAGTGCCTGCAGAGGGTAAAGAGAGCAATGATCCCCTGAAACTGGAGTTAGGGACCGTAAAGTGGGTGCTGGGAATTGAGTCCAGGTCTACTGCAAGAGCAGCCAGCTCTTAACCATTGGACCGTCTTTTGAGTCCTATAAAAGGGGAGGGTTTGAGGGTTACTTTTCTAACAGATGAGTACTGACTATGAGAAAGAGTTTTTGCTACTTTGTTTTTGCCATATTCTATGTTTACATTTGTCCTTTCTCAAACACAATGTATCGGTTACCTTGACAGAAACAATTTATGAGAGACAGGGCTTGTTTTGGCTCACAGTGGGTGCAGTCTATCAGGACAGCATAGCCCGGGGCATCTGGTCACTCTTCATCTCAAATCAGGAAGTGGAGAGGGATGAGTGCTGGTACTAAGCTCATTTTCACCTTTTGATTCAAGATGCTGAATGGTGCGGATCACTGTTAGATAGGCCTTGCCACCTCAGTTAACCCAGTCTAGACACTTCCTTCCAGACACGTCCAGAGATTGGGCTCCTAGGTGATTCTGGATCCTGCCAAACTGACAGTCCATATTGACTATCACACACAACTAACTAGTCGCGTTATTTTATTCATTTATTCATTTATTCCATTTAGATTTGTGTAGGCACACACATACCATGGTGAAAACGTAGAGGTCAGAGGACACGCTGCACGATGTCCCACCAATCTACCCAGAGCCATCTCATCAGCCCACTTTATTGAGGCAAGGTCTCTCTGTGTTGCCCAGGCCAGTCTCAAATTTGTGGAATCAAAAAAAAATTGTGGAATCATATGATCATCAGCCTCCTCAAAATCTTTACCTACAGTCATGTACATGTACCACTGTGGCTAGTTCAATATCCCACTCCCACCATTTTTAAAAATTATTTATTTTTATGTGCATATTTATTTTATTTTTGGTGTTTTGCCTGCATGTATGTCTGTGTGAGGGTGCAAAATCTTGGAGTCACAGATAATTGTTAGCTGACATGTGGGTGATGGGAATCAAACCTAGGTCCTCTGGAAGAGCAACCAGTGCTCTTAATCACTGAGTCCTCTCTCCAGCCCCTCCTTGATGTTGGTTATTTTTTTAACTCTTTAACTCTTTGTTCTTTGCTCTTTTGGGGGGGCCCACTACCCAGCTCCCAAATAAGTCACACACAGAGGTGTATTCTTAATTATAAATGCCAGGCCTTAGCTTGGCTTGTTTCTTGCCAGCTTTTCTTTAATTATCCTGTCTATCTTTTAAAGCCTCTGGGCTTTTATCTTTATCCTATATACCTTTCTTTACTTCTTACTCTTTTTGTGTCTTGCTGTGTAGCTGGGTGGCTGGCCCCTGGGGTCCTCCTCCTTCTCTCCTAGATCTTTCTTCTATTTATTCTCTCTGCCTGCCAGCCCCGCCTATCCTTTCTCCTGCCTTGCTATTGGCCAGTTCTTTATTAGACCACCAGGTGTTTTAGACAGGCAAAGTAACATAGCTTCACAGAGTTAAACAAATGCAACATAAAAGATGCAACACATCTTTGCATCATTAAACAAATGTGACACATCTTTTTTGTTGTTTTTGTTTTTGTTTTTCGAGACAGGGGTTCTCTGTGTAGCTTTGGATCCTGTCTTGGAACTCACTCTGTAGCCCAGGCTGGCCTTGAATGACATATCTTAAAATATTCTACAACATCTCCTATTTTTTTTTCTTAATGATGCTAGGGATTGGTCAAATCCAGAGCCTTGTACATGCTAGGCAAAGTATTTTACTACTGAGCTGTATTGTATTATGGGCTTCAATTCCCTTCTGCCCATTCTCTCACAGCTCATTACATTTCAGGTTGTAGCACAGACCTTGACCCTTTCCTGGTTTTCCTCACTGACCAATTCCGTCCTTTTAACCACTCTAAAGTCTAGGTATGGTGCCATAGACTTGCAATCCCAGCACACAGGAGACAGAAGCTAGATGATCACTGCAAGTCTGAGGTCAGGCTAGCCAGGACTACATGAGACCTTGTGATAGCTAATCTTTTTGTTTGATTGTTTTTCTGAGACAGGGTTTCTCTGTGTAGCTTTGGAGTCTGTTCTGAAACTCGCTCTGTAGACTAGGCTGGCCTCGAACTCACAGAGATTCGCCTGTCTCTGCCTCCCGAGTGCTGGGATTAAAGGTGTGCATCACCACCACCCGGTCAAGTGATGGCTAATCTTAGTTGCCAACTTGACACAGCTGGAATGAGGCAACCTTCACTGAGGAATTGCTTCCATCAGATTGGCCTGTGGTCTTATCAGTGGGGGCATTTTCTTTTCTTTTTCTATTTTTTAGATAGGGTCTTCCTATCTCTACACAGATTCATTTATCTTTACGTCTGTGGATATTTTGCTCTTGCATGCACACCATATGCATGCCAGGTGCCCTAGGGAGGCCAGAAGGTGGTTTTGGATCTTCTGAAACTGGAGTTCCCGACTGTTTTGAGCCTCCATGGTGGTTAGCCACCATGTAGGTGCTGGGAATCAAACTCCTGGTTCTCTGAAAGAGCAGCCAGTGCTCTCAACCTCAGAACCATCTCTCTTCAGCCCCAAGCATTTTCCTGGTTGCTAATTGAGGTCAGAGGGCCCAGCTCTGTGGGAGGTACCATCTCTGGACAAGTAGGGCTGCTGTATGAGAAAGAGAGCTGAATGTAGGCCCAGAGATCAGACAGTGGTCTTTCTTGGTTTCTGCTTCAACCTTCTGTTTTTACTCCCTCAACAATGGACTATAACCTATTAGCCAAATAAACCCATTTTTTCACCAAGTTTGTGATAAAAATGTTTATCACAGAACAGAAAGCAAACTAGAACAGGTGGAGGCGGGGTGGAGAGTGGTAGTGCATACCTTGAAACCCAGCGTATAAACTGACCACATGACTGACCCATGGTATAGTTAGGGGAAGGATTTTTATTTTTGTTTTTGAGACACGGTTTCTCTGTGTAGCCCTAGCTGTCTTGGAACTCATCTGTAGACCAGGCTGGCCTTGAACTCAGAGATCCACCTGTCTCTGCCTCCTGAGTGCCCGGCTAAGGGGAAGGTTTTTATTGTGAGAGAGGAGAGCCAGGGGTATCTGGAAGAGTCAGAGCAGAGAAAGACATAGACTGAACATGGCCAGGGCTGTCTTTGAGAAAGGGGAGAATAGCAGGAGACAGAGACTAGAGAAAATATAGTAAGAGAAGCAGGAGCAACACATCGGGAGAACAGAGTGAGAACAGCCAGGTTAGGAGGATGAGCAGCTGGGTGAGGGGAGTCCACGGGCTGGAGAGCTTAGGATAGAGGAGGTGAGAAGGGCTGGGATGCTAGCATGGACTCTGAAATGTGTAACAGGTCCTTGTGATACTGAGGGAGCCTGGAGGCCAGCAGGAGCTGACATACTGATAAGACACGACAGGTAGCCATAAGTCCCTTCTGCCACAGGTAAGGGAAATGACTCCTTTTGGTAGATGGGAACCAGTTTCACAAGTTCCTGAGGAATGCTGGTTTTTATCAAACCACCGGAAATCCTCCTATAATCCAGGTTGAGCTCATTTCTGGATATTTGGTCTGCCTTTTGGAGGTTGGGGAATTGGAGTATCTTTTGGACCTGACAGCCAGCACTCCAGAGGCAAGAGGCAGAAGAATCCCTGTGGGTTCAAGGCCAGCCTGGCCTACATAACAAGTTCCGGGCCAGCCAGAGATACATAGAGAGAGCCTATCTCAAATAAATAAGAATAAGTAACAGCACTGGACCTGTCAACATCCAGTCATAGATGGAGGTCAGGTAAGCCCAGAGAGAAGGGCCAGCCCCTTGACAGATAGGTATTGGCAGCTGATGGCTCCTGGGGAGAAAAAGTATCATTGTCTTTAGTGGTGCAGCCACTGATGAGTTACCTGAGCCCAGTGGACAATCGTGCCCCTGGTGGCAGCCTTGGTGAAACTTGATCACAAAACAAGACCAAGACATGACAGTTGGACGGGAGCTAGTTGTGAGGACATCTTTCTGGAAAGAAGGTGGTGTAGTGTAACCAGAATGTATTATGGACAGATATGAGCATAGATTTTAAAAAGAGAAGCTGGTGCTGGGCGTCTCTGATTCCAGCACTCAGGAGGCAGAGACTGGTGGATCTCTGTGAGTTTGAGGCCAGCCTGGTCTACATAGTGAGTTTCAGGATAGTCAGGGCTCTGTATAAAGATCCTGTCTCAATCCCTACCCCACCCGCCAAAAATGAGAGAGCTAGGGAGAGAGGGAGAGGGAGAAGGAGTTAGAGTGAGAAGCTGGTAACATGACTCAGTGAGTGGGATAAGGGGGCTTGCCACCAAGCCTAATGACCTAAGTTCAATACCCAGGACTTACATGGTGGAGGAGTGAACTCACTCCCGAAAGTTATCTTCTTAGGGCTCCCCCTTTCTCTCTCTCTCACACACACAAATTAAAATATCATAAAAAGTTAAAAATAAATAAGTAAATAAATAAATCACTCTTTACTTTTCATGGATGGTTCTGATAAAGCTCATGAATTCTATTTTTCTCATGTGTCTGGGCTTTTAATTCCAAGCAATGTGTTCTCTTTGCTCACTTCTCTGGTACTTTAGCTGGTATATTTCACTGTGACTTCATCTCATCACATCCTCTCCTTAGCTCTCAAGGTTTCAGCAAGGATGGCTTTTACCCCTTCAGTTGTGCTGGGCTCTTCCTGGACTTAGTTTATTTTATTAATTTTTTTATTTTCTTATTTTTGTTCAATGCTGGGGCTCTAACCCATGGCCTCACACGCTAGGGCAGACTTCTACCCACTAAGCTACATTCCTGGCGTCTGAAGATGTCTACTCTTTGTTTGTTTTGTTTTTTTGTTTTTCAAGACAGGATTTCTCTGTGTAGCTTTGCGCCTTTCCTGGAGCTCCCTCTGTAGACCAGGCTGGCCTTGAACTCACAGAGATCCTCCTGGCTCTGCCTCCCAAGTGCTGGGATTAAAGGCGTGCGCTACCACTGCCCGGCTTGAAGATGAGGAGCAGGAAGGACAGATGATGAGCAGAGTATCCTCCTCCTGGACCTGAGCAAAGGTTTGGGGTGTCTACTTGTTGGGGCTGGAGAGAGAGCTGAGACTGCTCCTGCAGAGGACCTGAGTTTGGCTCCCAGCACCCTTGTTGGGAATTTACGACCAGCTGTAACTCGGCTCCAGGGAAATCAGATGCTTCTGGCCCCTTCCAACAGCTACACGCATGTGCCCCACATGGGCATATACACATAATTTTTTTTAATGTGACAAAAATAAGATCTTTACAGTCTACTTGCTGATTTAATGGAGGAACAAATGTGACCAAATGGCTTTGTGACTCCTGATGGAAAAGGATGAAGCGAGGTCCCTGAATTCCCATTGGGAGTGTGTTGAAAAGGTTGAACAACCAATTCTCCAAAGGAAAGCTCTGTGCTTGTAGTTCTTGTCAATCTCTGGGATGTGCACAGTCTCATGATGGCTGATACTGAAGTAGTATCACTGAGTATGAGTTTGGCAAAAAAAATAGTCTTGGGAATCAGTGAGAACTGGTTTCGGCGTATTATTCCCAGAACAGAGTAATTTTGGGGGAAATGATATTTAGGCTGAAATCTGAAGGACAATGTGCAAACATCTAATAGAGAAGAATTCTTGGCTGAAGAAATATGTTACAAATGCAAAACAGAATACTAAGGGCTAATGATGGAGCTCAGTGTAGAACAGAGGTTCTCAACCTGTGGGTCACAACCCCATTGGGGAGTGGAATGACCCTTTCACAGGGGTTGCCTTAGACCATTGGAAAACACAGATATTTACATTACAATTCATAACAGGGGCTGGAGAGATGGCTCAGCTATTAAAGGCTAGGCTCACAACCAATTCATAACAGTAGCAAAATTACAATTATGACGTAGCAATGAAATAATTTCATGGCTGGGGGTCACCACAACATGAGGAACTGTATTCAAGGGTTGAAACATTAGGAGTGTTGAGACCACTGGCTTAGAATGTTGCCTACAAAGGACAAAGCCCTGGTTTAGATTCCTAAGACTGCACCCTCCGCAGATCACACACACTACATATCACAACATGCTTGCAACCTGAGCACTTTCAGGGTGGAGGCGGGAAGATTGGGAGGTCAGCCTTTTTTTTTTTTTTTTCACCCATTTGTTTTTCAAGACAGGTTTTCTCTGTGTAGATCTGACTGTCCTGTAACTTTCTCTGTAGAGAAAGCTGGCCTCAAACTCAGAGATCGCTCGCCTTTGCCTCCCTAGTGCTGGGATTAAATGTGTGGCCACCACCACCTGGTGGAGATACTGTTTTAAAAACAAACAAAAAAGTCTATTAGTGGTGGCAAATGCCTTTCAATCCCAAAAGACGCAGGCACAACTCAACTCTGTAAGTTCAAGGCCCACCTGTTCTACGGAGTGAGTTTCAGGACAGCCAGGGCTACACAGAGAAACCCTGTCTCAAAAAAAAAAAAATCCTACTTTGCTCACACGATAGTTCACAAATTGCAGATACACTACAAATATTGTAGGGAATTATTTCAGTATTAGGTGTATAAGAAAGGAATAAATTTCATTTTTAGACCTATAACCTATTTCCCAAGATATCTTCGATATATATTACAAATATGCTAAAACCCAAAATCATTCTGCTCAACCAGTACATACACATATGAAGAGAGACACGTTCATTTAAGCTTGGACAATTCTTTTTTTTTTTTTTTTTTTCAAGACAGAGGTTTTTTTTGTTTTTTGTTTTTTGAGACAGGGTTTTTCTGTGTAGTTTTGGTGCCTGTCCTGGAGCTCCAGCTATAGACCAGGCTGGCCTTGAACTCACAGAGATCCACCTGGCTCTGCCTCCCGAGTAAAGGCTGCACAGCCGCCGCCGCCGCCGCCGCCACCGCCACCGCCACCATCACCGGGCTAAGACAGGGTTTCTCTGTGTAGCCTTGGTTATCCTAGAACTAGCTCTGTAGACCAGGCTGGCCTCGAACTCACAGACATCTGCCTGTCTCTGGTTCCTGAGTGCTGGGATTAAAGACGTGTGCCACCACGACCTGGCCTAAGCTTAGGCAATTTATTTATTTATTTTGAGACACTAGAATTCACAGTCCACCTGTCTTTGCCTCCCCAGTGCTGGGATTAAAGGTGCCACCATGCCTGGCTTGGACAATTTAACTTCTCTAAGCAACACACGAATCTGTACAAAGTGGTAATAGTAACAGTAGCTTCAGAGTTAATTAGCATACTTGTTTTATTTTGATTTGGTTTTTAGAGGCATAATCTCTCTATGTAGTTCTGGCTGTCCTGGAACTCACAGTGCCCTCCAGATTCGGAGAGTGCAGTGATAAAAGGCGTGACCAATCACGTGTGGCCTTAATTAGCATGTTAAAAACGCACGCGTCAAGAGCTATATGAATATTAGATTTTATTCTTCTTCAAAGGGAAGGATTGGAAAAATACAAAATGAGGTTCTATCCTTAGCACTGGAAAACAGCAACAACAAAATAATAATGGTAAACAATAGGGTTAGTTGCAGTGGAGCAAATATGAACGGGACTTTTTTTTTCCCCTCCTGTAGTCCACACTTGACCTCAAATTTGATTGCTGTGGATCCCAGGATGATTTTGAATTTCTTATCCTCTCGTCTTCGAAGTTCTGCGACTACAGCCTTGAGCCACTGACACCACCACTACGCCCTGCCCTGCCCTGCCCTGCCCCTGCCGGTTTACAAAATGCTGGGGATTAAATCCAGGGCTTTGTGCATGCCAAGGAAGCAGTCTACTAACGTAGTACATCCCCAACTCCAAGAAAATATTTTATTTAAGATGTATTATATCTAGAATTGCTTGTTAATCCGGGTAAATTAAACCAATTGCAAAATCGTAAAGATTATCAGTAAACGAAAAAGTCCTGGATAAAGCTCCTCGCCGGTGTCCACCTCTGTCGTTCCCATTACACTCCAGCTGTCAAAGTATAGCAGGAAAATTTTAAACTGTCCATTTTTCTTTTGACAGCGGCAGAACTCTGAACTCAAAATAGAAGCTAACTCTCTCACCATGGTTATGCACCCGTGACAAGAGGAGCCTTTACGGACCTTCTGAAAATGGCGGTCCACGGCTCATTCGAACGGCAAGCAAGACCTTCCCAAGATGGCAGAATAACACGCTCTCGTCACTTCCTGTACCATACCGGATATAAGGAACAGGATTTCCGCTTTCGCTCCTTTCCGGCGGTGACGACCTCCCTACGAGAACATGCCTGTGAGTTCCTTGGTCCAGGTTTCGGCAGAGAACTCGCTCTTGTGTCTGCACTCTCCTCTCGCGCTAATTGCAGATCGTAGAGGGTCCACATTTACGCCCCGCTTATCTCAGGACCGTAATTCCAGGACCGCGGCGGCCCACGGGCCGCCCGCGTAGATGGGAGCCGAGAGGAGATAAGATGGCGGCCCAGCTACGCAGAAACCAGGGGCGGCGAGGGGCGAGTTCTCTTCGGTGTGTGACAGTGGGGACTGTTTTCCGTTATCGCCTTTCACCGTTAGCTTCTAAATCTCTGCATTTCTGCCCCTCGTAGCTCGCAAAGGATCTCCTTCATCCCTCTCCAGAAGAGGAAAAGAGGAAACACAAGAAAAAGCGCCTGGTGCAGAGCCCCAATTCCTACTTTATGGACGTGAAATGCCCAGGTGAGGAAGTGGTTTGCCGGAGCGGGGAAAAATTAGTACTTGTAACTTGATATTTTCTCAGAATTCGAAAGTAAGACACGGAACTATGTCCTAGAATGATTGATTGAATTAGTGAGAGGGATGGTACAGTTTTTGTTAGGATGCGGTAAGGGGATGGTAACTTGGAGCAAAGTGAAAGAAGTTAACGTTTTGTTGTTGTCTTTTTCAGGATGCTATAAGATCACCACGGTCTTTAGCCATGCACAAACGGTAGTCTTGTGTGTTGGCTGCTCCACTGTCCTTTGTCAGCCCACAGGCGGAAAAGCAAGGCTGACAGAAGGTAAGTGGTCTTAATGTTGGGCTTTTGGCCTTTGGATCCTGTGGTGACAGATCGTGTAGAATGCAAACCTCCAGGCTAGTAAAGCAAGCTGTATTCTTGTTAGAGTAGATACTGTTGCTTAAAGCTGGGGTGGGCTGGTTTGTTAAAAGGGTTCCATTTGGCTCCAGGTGATAGGACTTGGTGGAAGGGATGTGTATAGTTGGGAAGTAGCTAATGGGATTGAGAACAGATTTAGGAGCAGGGTCAGTGGCAGGCTGTGCAGGCTGATTAAGCAATACTTTGGACCTTTTTCTTCCAGGATGCTCCTTCAGGAGGAAGCAGCACTGAAAAGCACCTGATTCAAGATGAGTGGGAACCATCCCAATAAACACATTTTGGATATATAGTGTTTGTCTTGTTTAACTGGTAGGAAGTTGATGCCTCAAGTATCTCAGGGCAACCAGAAGAGTGGTCCTTTTGGGTCAAGTAAGTGGCCAAATACCCAAGAGTTCATTTTGGGCATTTGTATCTAGGTTCATTGGGCAAATCTTAGACTATGGTTTAAAGCTGGTGATACTGTATAATTAGTTGGGCTTTGTATTCTAATGTCTTTCTGGTATTCATATTCACTATTTTAGGGAAACACTAGTTTTTAACAGGAAGCATTGTGTCATACAAAGGTGTGGGACTGTTATCATTCAGGGAGTGTTGGTACACACTACTTTAATCCCAGCACTTGGAAGAAGCAGAAGCAGGTAAATTCAGAGCATCCAGGATTACTGTTCTTGTGTGTGTTGGGTGTTTAGACAGAGTCTTACATACTTAGTCCATGTAGCAGGGGATACCTCCCAAGTGATGGCATTGTAGGTGTGCACCACCATATCAATTTATATGGTGCTAGGAACAGAAACTTAACCTTTACAACATAAGACTTTGAATAAACCACGTAAGATCCTTTATTTACATTTCATAGAAAACTTGTTATGGAGGCTTACTGTAGAGTGTGCCACTGGGCTTCTGCAGGATGAGGTATCTCCTCCACTCCTCCACAGTGAAAGTGGATGTACCCACATTAGTGCTTTATACTCCACAACCAGTGTTGCAGCCGACTCTGCACTAGTGGTGGCTGTGGGCTCAGGAAGTGAGGGGGAGAACATGTGGCTGTATAAGAGGCTGGAAGAGAATGGAGTTAAGGAAAGCAAGTAAGTGAAGCACATATATCTGAACTTCCGAAAGATAAGGGCAGTGGTTCTTTACCTGGCTGAGGTGTTCCTATAGTTGGTACATAAACAACTGGAATAGTCTGTATCTTGTTGAGGAAGGCATTGTATGCTGGAAAAAGGAAATGCCACAAAAAAGGTTTATGTGATTTTGATTGCAGGAAGGCCTTGAAGATTAAAGTCCATTCAAAAATGAGATTTAAGGGCCGGCGAGCTGATTGAGCCAGCAGAGACATTTGACAAGCTTGTCTTAAGTCCCCAGAGCCTCCACTGTTGTCTCTGACTTCTACACTTGAGTCAGGGCATGTTTGTGCTCCCTTCCTAACCGAAGCAAATAATTGTAAGAAATAAATAAAATGAGATTTAAGTATTAGTATACAAGTCAATGTTTCCAGTTAGTTTTCCTTCAAAAAACACCTCCCTAACAAGTACAACACAAGTATAGCATATTTGTAGCATATGCTGTAGGTATTAGAAGTAACCTAGAAATGATTTAAGCTATATGAGCAGATGTCTAGAAGTGAGAATGCTCTTGAGTGCTTTAAGTTTTGATAATTGTGGGTCCTGGAATCGCCTCTCTCCAGTTGACTATAATGGCGAGGTACAGAGATACATCTTAGAGATACTTTTCTTTCCACTTTGGGCTAAAAGTACATGTGTAGGCAGTAGTGATCTCTCTTGGTTTGGTTTTTTGAGACTGGTTTCTCTATGAAACACAACCCTGGCTGTCATGGAACTTGCTTCATAGACCAGGTTGCCTGCCTGTCTCCCAAGTGCTGAGATTAAATGTGTGGGCCACCATGCCTGGCAAGTTGACCTTTAATCTTCTAGGCTCACTCATTGTCAACTACGTTTCATCCTTGGTTTGTGAGAGTCAAAAGTCTACCATGCAGACTCCTTACCTAGGAAGATGAAAGCAGTTGATGCCAGCACTGTGAAGAGGGTAAACAGGAGGATCTGGTAAGAACCAACAAGATTCCTGAAGACACCTGGACCTTCACAGTGATCTGCATTGCCATAACGGGACGGAATCGTTACATTAATCCAGAGTAGATGGTGGCTTTAATCACAGTGCAGAAGCAGCATTATGTCCAGTTCTATGGGGTGCTAGGCATTGAATTCAGGGCTTCATGCACACTATGCATGTACCACCTGAGTTAGACCTTTAGCCAGAGCTTGAACTCAGCTGCTTGCCTCTTTCCTGAGTACTGGCATTAAAAGAAAATGCCACCATGCTTGGCCCCTTGTTTGTAAGCATATTTGGTTCTTACATTGTTTCAGAGGCCCACAGTTCCCTCTTAGTATAATCTTACTCCTGCATGCTATTTCTATCCTGGGCTGTTGAAGGTACTGTGAGGTGGGAAGATAGCTGAGGTAAAGTGTTTGGTCAAGCATGGGGAACAGGGTTTCTCTGCCTGCTTCTGCTTCAAGGCGTGTGCTACCACCACCCAGCTAAGACCTGAGTTTTGTATGCACACAGGCCTATGTGGGTTTTGCTACAGTCCAGTTGTATACCTACTTGTGATCCTCTTGTTGGGGAGGCAGAGGCAAGCTGCCTGGCCAGCTACCCTAGCCTACTCACCTCTAGGCCAGTGAGAACAGGTTGATGGTTCCTGGGGAATTGCACCAAAGGTGACTGCTTCAGTTTGCATGCATATACCCACTTAGTGTATACACCCTCACTTGAACAACAAAACCCACTACAGTTACCTCTGGTCACATACTGCTGTTTATGTAAATATTGCCCAGATCAGGGTCCAAATAAAATTGGGGCACAATATTACTTGGAGCATTTGCCTGTGCCCATGTGTTCTGACTATACATTGTGGCCTAACACTTGAGTTTGGCAGGGTGTCTGTGTCGTGTGTCCCTGTCCCCGTGTCCGTCCGTCCGTCCCCCGTCCGTCCCCGTTCCCCCCCCCCCCCCCCGCCCTTCTTCGTTTCTCTGTAGACAAGGCTGCCCTGGAACACAAGAGATGGCCTGCCTCTCCTTCACAAGTGCTGGGAAGGGATGGTGGTGCATGAGATGGGGAGATGAAATCGCTACATATGGAGTTCAAGGCCATCCTGGTCTACCTAATACTGAAAAAAGATGACTGGGTGTAGACTAGGGAGCTAGAGGCAGTAAGTTCCAGGCCAGCCTGGTCTACATAGCAAGATCCAGGCTGGGCAAAACTTAGACAAAAGAAAAATGGTTCGTTGTGACTAATAGATTCCTTCCCCATGTAGATTAGAAATAGTCCCCAGTGCTCACCTGAACCAGATACACCCTGGGCTCTGACTACCACAGCCTCATGTTGACTGGTGAGTGTACAGGAAACATTAATGAAAACAGGTGATGACATCTGGAAGGCAGTGAAGTTGACTACTCTTACTAGGTAGGTAGCCAGGCCTGTCATGAAGGTGGAGTGCCTGTGGCCAGAGACCACTAGAAATGGGGCACTGGAAAAGACCTTGGAGAGAAGAGAAAGCAGTGTTTGAATTAGTACAAAAATTTCCAGCTAGCCAGCTGATAAATTAGCTTTTTCACCACTTCAGATGCATTAAAAAGGGACAGAAGAGTCCTTGCTTTGCAAGCATGAAGATAGGTGTTTAGCTGGGCGGTGGTGGTGTATGCCTTTAATCCCAGCACTTGGGAGGCAGTGCCAGGCGGATCTCTGTGAGTTCGAGGCCAGTCTGGACTACAGAGTGAGCCAGGACAGGCTCCAAAGCTACACAGAGAAACCCTGTCTTGAAAAACGAAAAAAAAAAAAAAAAAGTGTGTTTAATCTCCATTACTCATTTAAAAAGCTGGTCATAGTGGTGCATGCTTTAATCCCTAACAGAGGCAGGCGGATCTCTTAAATTCAAGGCTAGCCTAGTCTACATAGCCAATGCTATGCAGAGAAGCCCTGCGTTGAAATAAAAGCTGACTGTATGCCTGTGTTCCAGCTCAGGGGCACAGACAGGATCCTGAGGCAGGCTCCAGGGTTCAGTGAGGCTATCTCCAAGAGCAAGGTGGCCAGGTGTTTTAGTGCATTGCACGCCTTTAATCCCAGCACTCAGGAGGCAGAGGCAGGAGGGTGTCTGAGTTTGAGGCCAGCCTGGCCTATGTAGCAAGCTCCAGAACTACTTAGATCTGTCTCAAAAAAAAAAAAAATAGTGAATGCTCCAGTGGTTAAGAGTCCCAGTTGTACAGTTATGAGGACACCTAGGTAACAAACAATCCCATGTATATCAGTAACCCTGGCTCTGAGGGATACAGACAGGGTTTCCTGGGGCTTGCTCATTTCTAGCTTAGTCAAGAAAATGCCAGCTTCAAAGACATGGTGGACCTGTGGGATGGCTAAGGTAAAGACGAGGTGGTGGACCTGTGGGATGGCTAAGGTAAAGACGAGGTGGTGGACCTGTGGGATGGCTAAGGTAAAGACGAGGTGGTGGACCTGTGGGATGGCTCAGGTAAAGATGAGGTGGTGGACCTGTGGGATGGCTCAGGTAAAGATGAGGTGGTGGACCTGTGGGATGGCTAAGGTCAAGATGAGGTGGTGGACCTGTGGGATGGCTAAGGTAAAGATGAGGTGGTGGACCTTTGGGATGACTCAGGTCAAGTTGCCTGTTGCTAAACCTGACAACATGAGTTAGGGACTCACATGACAAAAAGAAAAATGACTCCTACAAGTTCTCTGACCTCCATATGTGCTGTGTGGCATGGACGAAGCTGCAAACAAAAGGTGATTCAAAAGGAAAAGATGGCTGGAGATGAGTGGAGAAGGACATCCAGAGCCCTCTTCTGGTCTCCACACATGCTTACACACTTACACACAAATACATAAAATCTTAAGAAAATAAGGTGGAGGTAGGCATGGTGGTGCATGTGTGAGTTCCAGGCCAGCCTCCACAGTGAATTCTTGTCTTAAAGGGTGGTGAGCTAGGAATGGTAGCTCACCCCTTTAATCCCAGCACTTGGGAGGCAGAGGCAGGGAGACCTCTGAGTTTGATGCTAGCCAGGAGGGATACACAAACCCTGTCTGGAAAAACCAAAACCACAAAAAAGGTGGTGTGCAATTGAGGAAGACCTCTGGCCTCCACACATGTGTGCATACAAAAGATTAAAATACTGTGAGCTAAAGTCTTAAAGCCTGGCTTTGGATTTACTTTGAAGGTAGGGGTGACTGTACTTGTGATTCTTCCTCTACTTCTGAGTACTA